TTTCACATTATTCCGCCTATGCGTTTTTTCGCGTAAGCGGACATCTCTGAACAGGCCCTGAAGTGCATTGTAAACCAATTAATATAATTGCCGTACAACAAATCGGTTGGGCCGTAGAACAGAAAAGGCGTCAAATATAGCCAAGTGCACATAAATTCACGGATACTTTGTGACTTATTTTCTCATCCATTCGCTTCCAGTTTCTCCTTTTCAAGTGTTCTCCAATAGTTCGGTACCTATTTTTGTTTGAGTATTGATTCAAGTCGGGAAGTGGCACGGCACCCACGTCGTTTGGAGGAGGGAGCATCCGAGTGAGTGCGCCATTTACTGTGCTTGTGATTAAGCCCTAGGAAGAGCAAAGGATCCTTGAGGAGCATGTGGACAATTTGTTCTCCGTTTCTCCCTTTGCTAGGCCTAATCCTAGTCTCACCTACCACAGGCCTTGTTTTGAATGTCTCCCTCTTCCTCTCCCCCAAGGGCATGAGCAACAGTGGCACTTGTGCTTTAGGGCGCATGTGAATTCCAGAAATAGAAGTTCTCCAATTGCATAGTTTATGTTCTCCTAGAAAAGTTTATAACGCTTGTATGGTGTTTAAGTTGTTATACGGTATTGCCCGAGTTGATGTTGCTTGCAGTTCAAGAGGAGCATTTCTTGTCGTCGTTGTGTGGTGGTACGAATTGCTTGAATGCAGCGCCAATGTCTGATCGGTCAGAAATTGATCGTTTTGGCATTTCTCAATGGACAGATCAAATCCATTTGGATGGACTCTCTGAGGTAAATGGGTTTTTGTCAGTAATTCATTTTCAGAATCATTCCAAACTGGCGCTAAGCTCGATTAGCTTTCTCTTTGCTGGCCCAGGTAGGTGTCAGACTTTGTGATTACAGTAGCGATGTACATATGATATCTACCTTACGGATTGCGACATTGCGTAGAATGTGCCACGCCCGAGTCACGCACGACTTCGGACCGCCGATGGCGACGTCGCGTAGTGTATTAGGCTGGTGTCAGAGTCCGCGATCCGTCGCAGGTTTCGCTGATTCAGCGATTTTCGCGATTTGCGCGACGGGTCACGGAAATCACAAGTGCCCGATCAATACTGCAAGGTGTTCTCCAATCCGCCGCCACTTCTGCTTGATAGTGATGGCTGAATGACGACTGCCCTCATGATTCCACTTGTTTGATATTATAGAATCTAGAATTATAGGATAGAATAGGAACGAATCATGAGCATTTCAATGAACTGATAGACATTGAACATGAAACAAGTAGAATCACAAACAGTCGTCTTTCAATCTTCACTGTCAAGCAGAATTCGCAGCAGGATTAAACAACACCTCGCAGTATTCATCGGGCACTTCCAACTCCTGTGATCCATCGCAGGTTTCGCGCAAATCGCGAAAATCGCGAAAATCAGCGAAACCTGCGACGGATCGCGGACTCTGACACCAGCCTTACTGCTGCGCATCGCGTGTGGGTCACTAGTACAGAGAGCGAATATTTCGCTTTCTGCGACGCAAAACGGCGGGAACCCCAGTCCACCCAGATCACGACCTGGGGCCGTATGCTGAATGTTGGGTAGGGGCTGGGGTCCCCGACCCGCGATGCTGAATGTTGGGGCTCCCAGCAGAGTTTCGTCGCGGGACCTACAGGTGACTGGCCAGTCCTTTAATTCTGTGATGAAGTTTTTGTCTTTTCACTGTTCTAGATTACAGATTCGTCCACGCACACATTGCCATATTGAAGTAATATACCAATATGGCGCGAAGTAATAAAGACGCGAACCAAACTTCAGGGTCTCATCCAGTAAGGGGGGGGGCATTGTGATGCAACGTCAAGTGGCTGCCCTCACCCCCCACCCCCTAGACTGCCTTCACTCCCCCTGGCTCACGGGGTCCCGTACTTCGAGAAACCTGTGCGCCAGGGGGAGTGTAGGCAGTCTAGGGGTGGGGATTCATTCAGCAACGCGGGTCGGGGACCCCATCCCCTCCCCAACATTCAGCACACGGCCCCTGGGGTTCACACAGCGAAGTCAGAAGTCTCAGGGAAAATTATTTTTTGAACCATCTCGGCCCTCACTGGGGTTGTAATAGTGCAATAGTGCCAAATTTCGCACTACGAAAAGCAAAAATCGACACTTGTTTTGCTTTAGGGTAAAGGATTCGTGGTTTGCTTCCCGCTTCATCGAATTAAGCATGTTCTACGACCATAATACTTTTAGTTTTGAAAATTAAAATGACTAAGAAACCTTTTTATAAGAAATTCTGAAATTCATCTTGTTTCAGAAGTATAAGGGCAGCATGTCTATCTGCGTTTCCAGTGAAATTTTTCTCTTCCTTACAGTTCATTTGCGATTCTTGGGCATGATTAGTAAAAGCGCACCACGCTTACCAAGGCTGGCTGGACGAGTTGAGATTTCTACAAAAAAAGTATCCAGATGGTACCGCCATGTCTCGATAGCACACCCAATTCTACAAGAAAGTAACTTACGGAGGTAACCGGGCCAATTCGTAACATTGATTTTGTTGACGCTAAGCCATCCACTGCAGCTGACCAGGCCAGCCACTGCTGTGCTGGTCGGCTGCAGTGGATGGCATTGCTGTCCTTGCTGAGGGTGAAATTGTACAGGTGATTTCACTTAGAAGCGGCAGTAAGTTACACTAAGCATATTCTAAGTCGCGGGGTTCGATACACAACCAGGGAGAGTACAGCACTGTTGCACAATGGTGTCTCATCTGAATTCCGGAGTTCCTCCCCCCAACTAAAGACTATTTTTTGTGAGCTTTTCAATCACCTGCAATATCCATTCGGTATGTCTCAGTTTATTTTTTCTTATCGGGAAAGATTCAAAAGACCCGCAACTAGTCACGTTGAGTTAACAGTTATACAGACGATGATTTCTTGTGCAGAAAGTGGAAGCTCATGTCAGATCTGGCTGACTGACGTGGTAGAACTGGAAAGCGATTGCTGGATATGATATATTTCGTATTTGAATGATACCTGCCGCCTTCCAATGATGCTGTCATTTCCATAAAAAATGCATTCCGAAAAAGTAAATACGGTCAGGAGTTTGGCTACATTGAGCAGCTATAAAGCGTGTGACCTTAGCGTGATTTGTTCTCTGATAAAATGCTCAATCGCTCAGATCTTCCAGATTAAAAATCATTTTCCACGGTAAGTCCTGGAATTGCAAATGAATAAAAAAGAAGAAGAAGTCACACTGCTAAACGAGCTAGCCCACAGTGCCGTCACTGATTCTTAAAATAAATGGACTATATTTAATATCTGAATTTGAGAGGATTATGGTTTTTGCATACTCAATAAACTAGGTAGCAAGCCATTCTTTCATCCTCACTCCAAAGAAAATTTCTGGGGATGCCCTTTTACTTTTGAAACGTGCTGTATAATAACGTGGTGGAAGGAGCTGAATGCAGTGATGGAGGAAGTGTCGTTTGAGGGGCAGAACTTCTAGTGTGTGCGCAGTCCTACACTTTTCGCTTCTTTTATAAGCCCTTATTTTCTGTGATTATTGTTTGACATCGTGTACTGACTTTGTCAAAGTTTCAGTGTGCCATCGCTTTGCGGAACCAGTTAGCATCTCTTCCATCAAATAATGCAATGGAGTTTTTGGAAAACGTCCGCAGGGTAAGTAGATAGTTTTCCTCACATATGAAACGAAATTATCCGCTGATGGTTGTCTCTGAGTAGTATTCTCTGGCTTTGATCGTCCCTTATTAGTGTTTTCATAGTTGGTTTTCCAGTCGTTACGATCGCACAGATTAGGGGTGTGGGTACTTAGGACAGAACGCGACATTTTCGCTCTTCGCAACGCGACATCGCGCGGCAGGCTGCGCTCCCGCAGCGAAAACAACTACGGTATGAAGAACGCGCGATTGGAGCGCGTTATTTGCTCTGGTTCTAAGTTGCGACAAGGAATTTGAAGCTTACTAACCATGGACTTGATAGTGAACGAGGAAATGGCCACCAGAAGAGGACCACTAAATAGCAGTGAAGAAAGAGGTAGGTTAATTTTGCAGAGGATGGGAGTGGTT